CTTATGGAGGCGGAGAGAGACGACGTGCGCCGACGCGACGACCAAATACGTGATTCCGAAGCGCTGCAGAACTCCGGGAATGCGAACAGTCTTCCAATTGGCTGAAAGAGCGGAAGAGTGTGAGAGACAGGAAACGGAAGTGAAGTCACGAACCGTTTCCGTTGGAATTGAGGATAAGTCCGATGACGAAGAGAGTGAGCGCGCGTTTGCAGATCTGGTAATAGAGGCGCCAAACGGGAGTCTTCTGCCGAACGACTTGACTCTTGAGACTGCGGACGGATTGGCGTTAGAGACGGCCTATCGGGCGGTTAGAGGACAGACCTGATGGCCATCGTAGTGCCCATAATGAAGATGAACCAAGGGAAGATGACGTCCGCGAAGTTGAAGCCATCCCAGTGCGCGTGGTCGAGGTATTCGTAGCCACCGGCGCCCATATTCACGAATATCATCATCAGAATCGTGATCCTAAGGACAGACGGCTTGAGACGACCGATACTATCGACAATCGCCGTTACCCTCGAAAGCAGTCCAAAGACTTGAGTCGTTTGCGTTTCTTGTCGTCCGCGGCCTTCGACTCGTCGGTCGAGAGTGGCGTCGGATCCGTCGTTATTGTCATTGCGTTGCGTTCGCGGTATCTTCGGAACAGTCTTCTGCTGACGTAGAAGACGGCGGCGAACGTGACGTAAACCCCGACGGCCACCACAAGCGGCCAAATGTTGTTCCGGCCCTCGTCTGCGATGCGGTGCTCGCACTGAAAGGCGCCGCCATTTTCGGTGATTCTGTTGAGAGAGACAATGAGTTGCGGAAAGAGTTCTCTCGACAGACAATACGTAATGTTGTGAACGGATTGGTCTCTCAGTGAATACGTTTGGCGACAGAAGAGCTCTTCATTTGTGGTCAAATAGAGCGGATTCGGTTGGCGGGCAGTGATGGCCACGATTTGGTCCGAATTCGTGGAGTTCTTGAGCGGCAGAGTCTGCGCGGGAAGAATGGGAGCCCAGAAGACGAGCGGACACTGAAAAAGAGGACAAACGGACGGAAAGCGAGAAATGAGAGCAAAAAAGTGTTTGTTTTGAGCGACGCGTCACTAAAGAGAGCGTCGATTGAGTCGTACTTCAAAACAATCGCTGAATTGCCGCCAAATGTACGCCACTTTCGACGCCTTGTTCTCGAAGCGCACGGACGCCTCGTCGAGTCCGAGAGCGGGCGCCAACTCGTCGCCCATTGTCTACTTCTGGAGTTACGGAGGAATGAGAGACGGCTTCTGTCAGACAATGAGAGATAAGAAGAGATAAACTTCGAGTTGAAGTGAATGTCAACTGAAAAGCGATAAAAACAAAAAGCATTCAAATCTGCGTTCAATTGTTGACAAACTATCAGCTGTTGTCACGACGACGACGACGTCACGCTCTCTAACCTATATTTGGGTTTTGGGAACACCTGTGGGGGAGTTGACAACCCCTGGGCGCACCTGAGGGCAAAGACACTTTGGCGTGAACTCCGCAGACACCGGAAACTCATTACCGATCGCTTCTCACAAGACTTTCAGCCAATTATCACAGAAATCGTCGTATTTTTTGCGTTTCCTGTCGTCTAAAAGAAAACCAATTTTCGCCAAAATTATAGACAAAAACTCTCGAAATTCCTCTCAAATCACATCTTTTGTCACTTTTTGGCCCAAGAAATGAAAAGCGAATTATTTTACGGACTTTTTAATAGGATTTCTGAGCGAAAGAAGAATTTCTTGAATTCAAGGCCTTTTAGTGTAGAAATGAGTGCCAAAGAGAACAACACTTTCTTCTCAATCGTCAAAATCTGCGCCATTCTTGTGAGCGCTCTGTCGCTCGTTGTGGCCGTCATTGCGGTCGCCGTCTCTCTCCTCGCGCTCACAATACTCGCGGCCGACGACCAATTGGAAGCGCGTAAGAAAGCGAACCCAAAGACACTTCTCTCGTGTCTAACAATGTGTCCAACACTTAGAGACGGATCTGAAGCGCGCTCTTGTCGTCGCTTCCGTCGCTCTCGCGCTGACTATCGCGTCGTTAGTGGCCGTCATCAAGGAGTTGAAGGTCATCGTCGCGGGGGTCGCCCTGGCAGCCCTCGGGGGCGCCCTCTACCGCCTCTACGCGCTGCAGTGGGTGGGGGCGGGCGTAGAGCTCGCGATCGCCGCTCTGAGCGCTGAATACGCGTCGCTTTTGTGGCAAAAGAGTCGCAGAGAAGGCAAAGAGCGTCACAAACGACGACAACAGACGACAGAAACGGGTTTTCAATGATTTATTGGGAAATCAATGAAATCTCAATCAAAACCTGTTTTCAATTTATCACTGATTTTGACATTAAATGCAAACAAATCGCAGAAAACAAAAGATTTGAAAACAAAAACTTTTTATTCGCAAACATTTACAGAACTTTCGAAATGAACTTTCTTTCGTACAAAACCCTCTCTCGCGCTCGCAATCACTTAAACCCGAGTTAACCGACACTTCCGGAGTCGCCCTTCCCTTCCCTTGCCCTCCCTTCGCAAACCCCAACCCCGCAGACCCCTCGTCATGATGGCCTCCGAAGACGTGACGCGAAGACGCGCAAAGGGTCGCTCTCGGGATCCCTTTCCCCAAACTGAGTCCTCGCGCGACGCGTCGACGCCTTTTCGAGCATTTCGTGATTTCAAGGCTTTTGTGGCGTAAAAATGTCTCAAATTTGCGACCATTTTCTCACTCTTTTCCGCCTTCTTCTCGAGTGCGCGCTCTTTCTGGCGGTCGTGCTTTCGGTCGCGCAAACGGTCGTCGTTTTGCCGCAAATCTCTTACGCCAAAAAATGTCTCAAATTTGCGACCATTTTCTCACTCTTTTCCGCCTTCTTCTCGAGTGCGCGCTCTTTCTGGCGGTCGTGCTTTCGGTCGCGCAAACGGTCGTCGTTTTGCCGCAAATCTCTTACGCCGACTCTCGCGCCACTCATCCGACCAATCAGAAGCGCTTCCGTGAGTCCAATCATTACAACGACTGCAATAATTGACTGTAATTTTGTCGCAGTGGTCGACGTTCTCGCGACTTCGCTGACGTCACTCGTGGTCTCCCTCTTCGCGCTCTTCGCTCTCCTGCGAGACAACAAACTCGCGATTGTGGTCGCGATCGTCGCGCAGTTGTCGTCTGTCGTCGTCGGCTTCCAGTGGTTCGCACAACAAAGCAAACTCCACGCGTGTCACGCTCTGCTCGCAGTCTCCACCGCCGCCTACCTCTCGCTCGTCGTTCTCAACACCCAATTGTTGCGCAAATAATAAATCTTTTCTTTCTCTCGAGAACTCCTTTTTTGAATCTCAAGGCCATCGCCGCCAACAATGTTCGCAATCCTCGAGTCGCGCGCGCTCTTCGTCGTCGTCCAAACGGTTCTCAAACTCGTGTGTTGTCTCGCGATCGCAGTCCTCGTCGTGCAAATCGTTTACTTCGATTATCGATACATCGAAGACCCCAAACACAGAGAGCGCAGTATTATTGCGGGTATTATAGCATTAAAGCGCTTTTCTAACGCTCTTTCCCTCCATAACAGTCTTCAATGGCGTCCTCTTGTCTGCGGCGGCGCTTCTGCTCGCGATAGTCGCTTTGGTCGCCGTTTGCGCCGAACACGCGCTCCTCGTCTTCGCGCTGACGGCCGTCGAGAGCGTAGTGGCGGTCGTCGCGCTCTTCTCGGCGTCCATCTGGGCGTTCGCGTCGGCGGTGGCTCTCTTGGCGCTGACGGCGGTCTTCGCGCTTCTTCTGTGGCGCCGATCGCGAGAATGAGAAGTGATTTTCGGCCGAAAACTCAATAAAAAGCGTTTTGAAGGAAAAAGCGTTTATTTTCTCTGAAATACCGTTTAATATATTTGTTATGAATTAAGAGTGAAATGAGTTGAAAATGATTTCACGAAAAGGCAATGACTTCGAGAACGGAAATATCGAAATTCGTCGAATCTGTGGACAGGAAGTGCTGTCAGAGGAATCAAGAAGAAGAACACAAATGGCAGACCTTGCGAGAGCGGGTCGTTGGCGAAAGTGTCGCATTTGGCGCTTTGGCCGCGAGTCAGCGACTCGTCGATGAAGAGTCCGAAAGCGCCGCCTCCCGAACCCACGCAAAGGGAGCGCGCGGTGGCCGACATGAAGAGCTGTTGCGAATGCGAGTCAATCGCGCGCTGTCTTCCAATCCACTCGTATTTCGTGACTTTTGGCGCCAAAACGAAAAGAAAGGTTTCTCCCGTTCCGAAGTATTGTCCGCTTTTTGTTTGCGACAAATCGAGACGTTTGGACCACGAGGTCGAGCAGAAGGCGCCGAAGATCTATCGGAAAGGGAGGTCAGAGAGGGAGAGAAAGAGTGAAAGAATACCTCGTTTTGAATGGTTTTGATGAGAAGAAGCGTCGGTTCGAAGTCCGCGCAAAGCGTAAAGAATGTCTGCAAAGAGTTCCCGTTTTCCGCCGAACAAAACACGACAACGGGTTCGCGAACGACGAGGCGTTCCGGAAGCCACTCCCACAACGCGTCCAACAGCGACCACGTGCTCAGAATCGAAGACCGGAAGTGAAGGGGAGCGATGCGCGCGCCCACGATGTAGTCTTTGGTGTCGATGACGTCATACTTGGCGTGAAGCGGACTCTCGCAGAAGGAGACGCTCTCCGACCGCAACTCCGCCTTCGACTTGGCGCGCGCGATGTCTGGGGGGAGGGGGGATAACAACAGTGTCAATGGCACGACGACAGTGACCTTGACTGACCTTTTCTCGAGAGTCGCGTCACCTTAAGGGCGGTTGCGATGAGTTTGTTGGGCGAAATGACGTCAGCAATGGATTCACAAAAGTCGCGCATTTTGTCCAATGAGAGGCCGTCGCCTTTCGTCTTATGGCAGAGGAGCGCGAGAGTGAGCGCCACCCGGAAGAGGAACTTCTCGCCCTCCACGAGGAAGCAGTCGACGACGCGAACCACGTGATGGAAGGGCAGCGAAAAGATCCCTAAGAGAGGCGTTTAGACGTGTCTTTGGCTCTGAACGAGACATACACTGAAGGTATTCGCCGAAAGCCGTGTCCAACGCGTTGTTGCGGAGCTTCTCGCGCGCGTCGGCGCCCACTTTGCGCGGCCGCAGAATTCCGAGCTTTTTGGTCAGTTTCACGAGAATTATGGCGTCGCGCGACTTCTCGGCGCGAGTCGTGGCCATGAAGTGCACGTCACGAGAGTTGATCTGCGAGTGAGAGAAAGCTGTGGTCAGAGCAGAGGCCGGAAGTGCGCGCAAACACTGACCAAAGAGTACATGCATTTGTAGACATCGATCACGTCATGAAAGTGCAGGAATAGAGCCGTCAACGGGTAGACTAGAGGCGCGAACGTCACGTGCGGACAGCCTTTGAGTGGACAGCGAGTGGTCAGCGAAGGAGTGGTCTTTGGTTTGGCTTACTTTGACTGAGACTCCAGAGGACGCGCGTCACGTCCTGTCGTCCGGCGGGGTTGAGGCGGAAGAAGCGCGCGACGCGGGGCTCAACGAATTTCGGCAGTTTTCGGGTCTCGAGAGCGGTGGACAGCGCGTCGTCGGGAGTCGGCGGCCGCGCGCCACACGAGTGTCGGAGCGCGAGTTCGCGCCACAAGTCGTCGCGCAAAGGGTCGCGAAGAGCGACGGAATGCGAGCGAAGCACTGCTTTCCACTGCTTCGGAGGCATGTCTTTGGCGGCGCGGAGGCCGAGGCCAGGGCTCGAGCTCTCGAGTTCGAGCCTCTCCTCGGCGTCGACGAGGCTTTGGTCTCGCATTTTGAGGGAACGCCCACTCGTCACACAAATTACGTCATTTTATTGGACGAAATGCGCGAAAAGAGCGCCGACTGTGAGGTCGACGACCGCCACGACTACCAGGGCTTCGGGAGCGAGAAGGGGCACAAAGAGGTGGCCACAGAGGGCGCCGCCCACCAGCACGAGGAACACGAGGACGAGTCCGCGACTGCGCAGAAGAGTGGCCACCAGACCGAAGACGACGACCACGACGTACGACAAGTGTCTCAACAGCTCTTTCGTGGCCTCAAGTCCTTCGGAAGGGAGTGTTAGAGGAATTAGGAGTGGATTTAGAGCCGATTTCGACAATACTTTTGTCGAGCATTCGGTCGACGATTGGCTGGAAGTGTTCTCTTCGCTCGAAGTCTTGGATTTGTTCCGCGATTTGTTGATAGGTTTTGAGGCTTTCGAAGAGAAGCCAAAGAATGACTAAAAGAGAGCCGAAAAGAGCGGAAAAGAGGAGAAAACGCGTCAAAAAGGACTCGTTTTTGCCCATATTTTGGCGAACATGTGATAAGAGATAAGAAATATAAACAACTTTTGATTTATTGGCGAAAAACATAATTAGAAATAAATATTTAGAAACACAACAAATGACTAAAAATGGGTTAAAAATAAATAAAAGGTTTTTCTTTGCGAATCACTTCCAAAGTGTTTCGACACAACTCTCGCAGAACTCGAGAGCAGTTGTCGTCGTCTTTGTGGTCGTCGTCTTCGGCCGAAGAGCTGTTCCGCTGTTCGACAATCGCGCGAATGGTGTGCGCGCCCCTCTCCGCCACCAACATCTCGACGTAGCGTTTGGCTAACGGGAGAGAGAGACGTGAGTATTGTTTGTTTGGGAGGAAAGGGAGGAACGGACGGTTTTTGGAGCACACGTGATGAACGGCCCAAACGGCCCACAACTGGACGGCCGGCCATTGGAAGCAATTGAGGAGCGGAAGGAAGGGAACGAACGAGCGATAGGCGACCATTTCGATGTCGGGCGTCGCCCACGAGAGCACTACTTCCTTCTGTAAAGACTGTGAAGGTTAGAAGTGGACAGACATTGCGTTCGACTCACGAGTTGGCGGAGAAGAGCGTGCAGGTCGTGGAGCGCGGAAGAGGTGGCGCTTTGGTCGGCGCAGAGATGCGCGAAAATGCCGGCCGCGAAGTACGAGACGTCGATTTTCGGCGAACGCATCAGAAGTCTGGAAACGGAGGGAAAGGCGTTATAGAGAGCGAGAGCTTATTGGCGACGAACCGGAGAACGCGGAGGAAGTGAAGGTCGAGGAGATTGTGACGCAATTCCTCCACTTCTGCGATGTTGTTGACCAATCCGAGGACTTTGGTCTCGACGGCGCACTCGCCCTCAAAGCGCTGTCGGAGGGAACGGGAGGTGAGAGGGCGTGGAGAGAGAGAGAGAGAGAGCTCAACTCACCTGAAGCACCTGTAGGTAGAGGTCGAGTCCGCCCTTCTGGAGAAACATTTGACACGTTTTGGGCGACTCGTCGGTGAGGTTCCAGAGCGCGCTCAAAGTGAACTTCAGCATAATGTCGTTGTGAAGGGCGTCGGCGAGTCGCGCGCGAACGATGGCCAGCAGCGCCTCCATGTAAACGGCTTTCGCGCCCAAAACGGAAGTCTCGGCGGTAGAGATCTTCGCGGCCAGAATGGAGACAATGGCGACGGCCATCCGGTTCATCGCCGTGTCCTTAAACTGCACGAGCGAATCGAGAACGAGTTGAGTGCAGAGAAAGCGGTCGAAAGAGACGTCTTGAAGCACGCGATCGGAACAGATGGTGAGCAGAGAGTTCTTCTGCAACTGCTGGTGATTCGGGAAGTTCTGCATCGCCGCGAGAGTGCGCTCCACGACTGCGCGCAGAGTCGAGGGGTGCAGACGATCGCCGAACTGGTTCTTCGACAGGTTATAGAGACACGCCGTGGCCGCCATCTGGACGGCGATGGCGCGCGAGTGGACGGCCATCGGCGCGACGACGGCTTCTATAAGGTCTGCGCGCGCGTCGGCCAGAGTCTGCGTGAAGGCGTATAAATGGAAAAGAGATTTCTGCACGAAATTCGCGCGCAAACCATATCTTCGGAGGGCTTCGAGAATCTGCTTTTCGGACGCGTTTCCGGAGACCACGAGATCCGCGTCGCCGAACGCCAAGTCGTCGGACGCGACGGATGTCTGCAGGAGTCCGAGGAAGCGGAGGGGAAGGGCGTCGGCGGCGGCGTGTTTGGCGGCGAGGAAGCGCGTGACGAGAGCGCAGTCGACGCCATCTCTGCCGGAAATGTCGAGTTCTTGGAGGCGCGCGAAGAGGTGTCCGCTTTGCAGGAGTTGGCGCACGTGATGACGATCGCGAGTCACGAGAGCGTCCAACGGGTTGTCGGAGTCGTCGCTGACGTCGAGGGCCTCGAGAAGCGGTAATTGTTGAACGACTGAAAGCGAGGTTTCGCCGAACGAAAGGTTATAAACGGAAAGAGATGTCAAACGGTTGGCGCACTTCCGGAGCGCAGAGATGTCGCGCACGCGCGTCGCGGAGATGTTGAGCGCGCGGAGGAGCGGAAGGTCGTCGACCACTATCTCGAGGCCGTGACCGTTGAAGTCGGTGTGCGAGACGTCGAGAGCGCGCAGAGACCGCAGTTTCGCCAAACCAATCACGACGCAGAACTGCGGAGAGAGGGGTTAGAGGTGAGGGGATGACGTCACGGATACCTTGCTGAACATACCTTGTTGTGATTGGTGAACGCAGACCGCGAGACGTCGAGAGCGCGCAAGTCGTGCAGCGATTGGTCGCCCAAACAGCCGATGAGTTCGTTGATTGTCGCGCGCGAAAGACCGCGAACTGTGAGTCGGCGCAGACGGTGTGCGCGGAGAGCGCGGAGTCCGCGAGTCGTGAGTTGAGAGGCGTCGTCGAAGTGGACGGCGTGGAGGCGAGTGTTTCGGGCGTCGAAGAGGGGTTTGAGGAGAACGTCGTCCGAGAGTTGCGAATGAAGTGAAAGCGAACGCAACAACTCCTCCGCGAGCGCGCCGTTCAGGCCCTCACACGTCACCTCCGCGTCGATCCGTTGGCGCAAGAAATCCAAACAATAGTCGCGAAGAGTTTGCGGCGAAACAAACATTGGATGCGATGACGAGTGCGAGCGAAGAGTTCACAACAAACCCGCCATTCGGACCCTTTTGTGGTGCGAGAGTGCGAAGCGTTGTCGCGCGCAAAGGGACCAAAGCGTCGGTTTCGCAATCAGCTGAACGGCTACTCAGTGCACGTTATTTGTGTGGAATTCGAAGAGTGGAAGAATTGGAAAGAAATTCGCGAAAAGTCGAGAATTTGTGCCAAAGAGTCCTCTTTTGGTCTCAAATCCGGAGATTAGTTGACAATAAAATCCATTTTTCGGCTGAAAAGCACTGAAAAGCATTGAAAATACAATCTTTCGCTGTTTTCGTCATTTTCTCAATCTTTCATTAGTTATCCACAAAAACTTCTTTTCCGCCCAAATCTGTCCCCAAAAGAGGTGGGAGTCGACGCCAAACCCTTTCCTTCGGTACATTTCCTCACAAAAAGCCCCAAAAATGGTTGAGTTTTAGGTAAAACGCAAAGTTTTGTTTTGGTTTTGAACGGAAATGAAAACACATTTGAAATGAAAACTCATTTCTCATGAAATGGAAACTAAAATCCCTTTACTTTACGTTGTATTCGTCGCGCGTGAGTCCCGCGATATTGTTGTCCTCGCATTGCGTTTCACTTCCGTTTCCTTTCAGTCTCTTCGCGCGCGAGAGCCGCCAATCCGTGCGCCGGAAGTGCGGATCCCGTGGCGTGCGGCCGCGCGACGCTTCTTCGCGGACAGTCGCATATCGGAATTCCGTCGGCGTGTAATACAGTTCACCTTAGATGTGCTTTACGTCTTATAGCCTTTTCTCTTAGGCTTCTCGCGCGTCGACGCCGGGCCCTGCAGTCAAGACCTGATCCGCATTTACTTCGACTCCAAGACCTTCACGTGCAAAGCCTTTTCGTACAGCGGGTGCGGCGGAAACGCCAACCGTTTCGGTCAGTCGTCATGACAACTGTCAACACGTCTGAAATGCGTTTCTTACAGTTTCGGTGAAGAACTGCTATAAACTCTGTCATCCCTATTATCGCCAGCGCTTCGTGTCGTTGGGCTCCGACTCGGGGGTCGCGCCGCCCGCCCTCCCCGCCTTCTGTGAGTCCAAAATCCCTCCTATAATGCCGTTTGTAATGCCGTCCTTTGCAGCGCCGAAGAAAGGCAGCGACGAACCCGACAGCGAGGAGTCGGCGGCTTTGGAGCGCTCGAAGACGACGACGACGGACGAGACGACGACGGCAGACAAGTCGTCGACAGCGGGCGCGGAGACGACGCCGGCGGCAGAGGATTCCGAGGCGGCCGCTGTTGACAAGGGAAAGATGCCGGACAGAATCAAGTTCTTCTCGAGCGCCGGCAAGCAGTCGGGAGAGATGCCGGAAGTGGTGCACGAGTGAGTGTTTGGGAAGTGGAGAACAACTAATGCCTTGTTTTCGTCCTCAGAGTGGATGCGTTCGCGGCGTCGGGACGACTGCAGAACGTGCAGCACGAGGCGTACGCGCCGGTGGGCGGATACGTGCCCACAAGAGACGGACAGTTTCGGCAACAAGTGGTCGACAAACAGAAGATCTTTTACACGAAATACAAATAATTTATTTGAATAAAAATCACTTCATTTCGACTTCGATTTGTTGAACGGAAGTGACGTTCAGTTTGACCTTTTTCTTGGTCTTCGCGAAACACGCTTCCGTAGTNCCATTCTGGCCGCGAAGATCTCTACCGCCGAGACTTCCGTTTTGGGCGCGAAAGCCGTTTACATGGAGGCGCTGCTGGCCATCGTTCGCGCGCGACTCGCCGACGCCCTTCACAACGACATTATGCTCAAGTTCACTTTGAGCGCGCTCTGGAACCTCACCGACGAGTCCCCGAAAACGTGTCAAATGTTTCTCCAGAAGGGCGGACTCGACCTCTACCTACAGGTGCTTCAGGTGAGTTGAGCTCTCTCTCTCCACGCCCTCTCACCTCCCGTTCCCTCCGACAGCGCTTTGAGGGCGATTGCGCCGTCGAGACCAAAGTCCTCGGATTGGTCAACAACATCGCAGAAGTGGAGGAATTGCGTCACAATCTCCTCGACCTCCACTTCCTCCGCGTTCTCCGGTTTGTCGCCAATAAGCTCTCGCTCTCTATAACGCCTTTCCCTCCGTTTCCAGACTTCTGATGCGTTCGCCGAAAATCGACGTCTCGTACTTCGCGGCCGGCATTTTCGCGCATCTCTGCGCCGACCAAAGCGCCACCTCTTCCGCGCTCCACGACCTGCACGCTCTTCTCCGCCA